ACATTGTTGCCTTATAAATTCAAAAAAGAAAAAAAAAATATTGAGTTTTAAAAATATCTGCTAAAAATAAATATTATATTAACTCATAAAATGAGAAATATATAGAGTATCATTACATTATATAAGTATTATAATCAATAGAAAATATGTATTAAAAAAATTACTGACAAGTTCTCTAGTTTTGTATTCAATAAATCTAATTTAATTTAATTTTTTTTTTTTTCCGAATTTAGCATGACTAAGTGAGATATCATCAATTTGATGCATAGAATAATTGAGAATTCACACAGGTATATATTAAAGAATCAGAAGATTTTAATAAATCAAATTAATTCTCACATACTTGTTGTTCTTCTGGCAAATTAATTATTAAGCCAATTAAAATTGTAACTAAATCTCTAACATTTGTGGAATGCATACGAGGAGTTTTATATGTGGCCGTGTCCACCATGTGTAGACATTTTATAGTTTTAGTAGATGCAGATCTACAAGATGATCATACTTCTTCTGTTTATCATTAACTTGTAACTTGATTAATAACTGGACGTTTGCGGAGTTACTTTCTCAGATAATTCGAGTATAATTTTTATATTAATACAAGACAATCTCTTTCATAATGTTGATGAATTAACATCTAAAAATTTAAATAATTATTCTATAGCTATTGAAATAACTATTAAGTATTCTGTAATGCAATGCATGTTCATATACAAAGCATATGTATTTTACGTGCAGACAACACTTACACACACCTAAGGCCAATAAGTTATTATAAGTTAGCACATTTTCCATATTAGAACTTCTGAGTGCATAGTATTATATGTTTCAATTGTTCTAATACAATACACCAAAATGGTTCTTCCAAGAAGATTGAAAACATACATGAAATATGAATATACATCTATAATTAAATATTATAACTACTTATTGGAAATACTTTTATGACCAATAATTTTACTACTGTCATTTTGTGATGAGATAATTTTTACAGACAGTATTGTGGGGGGAAAAAATAAATAGTTTGATGAAAAAATTAATTGGAACGCATCATCTTTTATTAAATCTTGTTTTCCAAATCAATCAATATGAATAAAAAAGTTCAAAATATAATTTATTTATAAAATATAGCAAATTAGTTACCGGATTTTAAAAGAAAAACTAATCACATTTACCGATTAATTGTAAGACAATTTACTAATATTGCAAAAAGAGTATAAAGTACATATGAAACATGATAGATCAATCGATTTCAATATATATAAATTTTTTTTTTTTTTTTAAAAAAAAAGTGCAAATGATGGAGATATCCAAATTTATGAAGAAATTAACCCCAAAGTTTTTTAGTTAAGGAGACAGGTGCTCATGAAGAACTTAAAAACATAAT